ACAGCTGGATGAGTCTTTCAGTCAAGGAAATAAACCAGTCAAAGCACAAGAAGAGCTGAACTAATTAGCCGAGCACAGGAGCCTTTCAATTTGAAAGTAGTTTATAAAACCCGAAGTAGCTCAAAGTGTCCTCCCTGACATGGATTATCTGGTCACCCTACCAATACCAGTGTCTGGATGGCAGATCCAGCACAATACAACCACCTAGCCTCATGTAAACCCACAATGTCACCCCTATCAAGCTCCGTGAAGTGCTTGTAATGCTGTCTAATGCGTGTACGAGGCGTTCTCTTTGTCTGGTGACTAGACCTGCCCCCCCATGCAAATCGAATCATTTGCATACCCATTGCTGGTCTGCACATGTACCAAATTACATCCAAATGGGACCATGACTTCTAGGTACTTTGTCAGTGTGTATATTATTGACTCACCTCAAGCACATCTTGTGTTGGGCCACCCTTAGCTAGCTAAGCATAATCCACACCTTGATTGGATGAGAGATGCCATTATGGGTTGGAGTCCGTTGTGCGACTCTCAGTGTCTCCGTACGTACTCCCTTCAGTGGTCCATGAGGAGGAAGAATAACCAGACCTGTCTATGGTTCCTGTAATGTATCTGGGCCTGAAGTAGGTATTCAGTAAGTCCTGGGCCTCCTCCCTACCTCTACACCACCCACTCAACTGTGCGATCAATCTACTGCCTGGCACTTCTCCTCCTAGAGGCCACCTGTATCCCTTGTCTGTTCCTGAGAAGAAGGCAATGGATAAGTACATTAGCAGTGCATTGGAATCTGGTATTATTTGGCCTTCCTTGACTCCAGCAGGTGCTGGTTTCTTCTTCGTAGAGAAGGACGGGTGCCTCCGGCCTTGTATTGACTATCATGGTTTAAATTAGATCACTATCAAGAACAGATACCCCATACTGACCTGTCTTTCATCTGCTTCAGGGAGCAATGGTTTACTAAATTGGACTTACGGAGTGCATACCACTTGGAAAGATCTGACAGGGGGACGAATGGAAGACAGCTTTTAAAATGCTTACTGGTCATCATGCCTTTTGACTTGACAAATGCACCTGGAGTATTACAAGATTTGATTAATGATGTCCTCTCAGATATGCTAGACAAATATGTTTTTGCGTACCTCAACAACATCTTGGTGTTCCCACGTTCTGAACAGGATCATGTTCAACATGTTTGCGAGAATCTCCAATATCTGCTGGTTAATAAGTTATTTGTCAAGGCCAAGAGGTGTGAGTTTCACTGACCAACTGTTTCCTTCCTTAGGTTCATTCTTGCAGAGGGTTCAGTCCAGATGGACCCAAAAAAGGTCAAGGCTGTTGCTGAATAGCCACAGCTACGCAACCAGAAGGATCAAAAATGTTATCTGGGTTTCACAAATTTTTACTGCCATTTTATTTGGGACTATAGCTCAATTGTTGCCCTGCTCACAGTGCTCACTTCCACTAAGACCTGTTTTCAGTTGTCTGATGCAGCTCAGCAGGTATTTTCAGACTTACATAGAAGTTTCACCTCTGCTCCCATTCTACAGATCCCCAATCCCCCTAGGCAGTTTGTTGTAGAGGTGGATGCCTCAGGCACCAGGGTCGGGCCGTTCCCAGTGGCATGCATTGGACACTAAGCTGCACCCCTGCACCTTTCACGGGTCATTGACCACTTCTCGAAAGCTGTTATTTTTGTTCTAGTTCCTAAACTTCCCTTAGCTAAGGAAACTGCACAATTACTCCAAGTTGTCTCAGACAGAGGACTGCAATTTGTCTCCAGGTTCTGGCGGGAGTTCTGCAGGTTGATCTG